TAATTATCCTCACCAAGTAGGAATATCTCGGCATCCGGGTTGGTAGCCACCGCGGTGGTGCTCTTGTCTTCCCTCTTCTTGGGAATAATCTGATCCGGCTTCACAGAGCCGTTCTTCTCATCATTCTGTAGGGTCTAGCAGTCTGGCTTCTTATGGCCTGTCTTTCCACAGTAAAAGCACTTCAACTCATATTTCGACTTTGACCTACCTCTAGACTTTTCTTGTCTGTCACGACCTCTACCCCTGCTTTTGCTTCTACCCCCGGGAGTCGGATTTTCCTTTGTTCTCAGCAACGTTGGCCTCAGACGTGCTCGAAACGCCTCGTTCTCTTCTCCTGACTTCTTCGCTCAGGAGGTTGTCTGTCACGACATCCATCTTCAACTTTCCTTCTGGAGCTGAATTACTCAAAGTCACCACCAGAGTATCCCAGCTTTCTGGCAGCGAGCTCAACAACAGCAAAGCCTGCATCTCATCATCAATTTTCATCTCAGCTTTTGACAGCTGATTCACAATACCTTTATAGGTGTTGAGGTGTTCAATCATACTCATGCCTTCCTTGTATTTAAGCTTCACAAGTCGGCGAACCAGGTATGCTTTATTCCTGAGAGTCTTCTTCTGAATCATGGACTCCAGCTTCGTCCACAACTCATACGCGTTCGTGAACCCGGACACGTGCTCAAAGAGGCTTTTATCAATATATTTCCTGATCGTGGCTACCGCCTTTCGACTCAGGATCTCCCACTCCTTATCAGTTTTACATGTCGGTCTCTCATCAAGGGTAATGGGCTCGTGTAGATCTTTGCAGTTGAGATGATCTTCCATCATCGGTCTCCAATAGGTAAAATCATCTGCGGTCAACGTGAACATGTCTCCATCATTGGTTATGCCACTGGTCTCCATCTCGTCTCCTTCAGAACCCATTGAACTCGGGCTCTGATACCACTGTTGGGAACTCGGTTCCCTCAGATCGGCTCAAGGGCCTTTGTGCGGAAGTCAATCAACAAGATCCTGATCTCGGATCTTGGCAATACCTCAGTCTGAACTTCACCAGGTCGGGTAGCGCAGGGGAAATATCAAAACAAAAAATCTCAAAACAGGAGAGAGAGAGAGAAGAAGAACACAACCAGATTTAACGTGGGAAAACCTTCTTCAATGAAGAAGTAATAACCCACGGGACCTAGTCCAAATCAAAAATCCACTATGAAAATAATGGTAACAAAATAATCAGAATACACCAATGTGGTGGTTAACTCAACCTCTCCAACAATGGTGATAATCAAACTACCCTAGAGATGTTTCACTCAAACTCTCTCTAGAGATCTCTCAAATGCAAAGCATAAAGCTTTGCTCAAACAATTTTCTCTCAAATATCTGTCAAATAAAATTCTCTCATATGACCTAGCCTCCACGCACAACTAATGAGTGTATATAGAGGAGGTGAAAATTAGGGTTAGGGTTTTTAGAAAACCCCTCAAATGGGCATGGGCTTAGCTTTTAAGGAGGAAGCCCAACACGTAGCAACACAAATTGATTAGAAAAAAAACTTATTCTTTCTCCCCTGTCACGTACACATTCCCATGCTCTCTTCATCCTTTGTTTCCTTTTTCGTTTTTATAAAAAGAAAGGATTGATTGCAGGTCTGACATTCTCAAATAAGTTAATATCTAGAGACGAGGTCTTCATTGTGATTTTGCTTGCCTTCTGTACATGTAGTGTTGACTTTTTTATTCACTACTATAAAATAGAATGATGATGTAATTCTCATATTTGTTTTGGAGGATTGATAAGATTTAAGGGGAGAAATAATTGGTTGGAAGCAACTAGATTATGAGCGGGTTCAAGCGTTGATTTAAACTTTATTTATAATTTTTTTTTCCGAATGTGCGGACATAAAATTTGTTTCCTGGGTCCGCCACTATATATATATATATATACACTCCACCTATCCCCCAGATGACTGCATAGCGTTATCAGATTGGTTTCTACCTAGTTTTTTTTTTTACATTCCTAATGTTGAAATTTTTTTTATGTAATTATTCACAAAATACAATACATTAATGTTTATGTTGTACCTTATATATTTGTATAATTGTATAATTTCATATAATTTCAGGTTCACATATCAAAGATAAAGATAATTAAATAAAATACTAACTAGTTTATTGTGTAGTTTACATTGGTTTTAAGTATTTGAAATTTAGGTATGATGATAATCTTCAAAAATAAAAAATAAAAAAAATTCTATATGAGACAATTTTATTTTTATTCCAACTATCATTTTGATTTCATTAGAAACAAATTTGTACAAAACATACTCTTGATAGCATGTTTCATAATTTAAATAATCATGTTGTTATTGTCTTTAATCTTAATTTATGGTTCTCTTTAACAAATGGATCAACTTGACTAGACGTAATTGAGACCCATATGTTTAATTGTCTTATATTTCACATATGTGCCATTAAATTTTAGAAATCTCAATTCCACCCAATGGGTGCAGCTCATTTGGTAATTTGGCGCTGAGTTAGTGGGGTTGGACGTGTGTTCGATTCCTGCTGAATGCATTCTTAGGGAGGGGGCTGAACCTTTAGCCATCACTGCTCCCCCGCACTCCGGATTAGTCCCATAGCCGGCTCAAAGAGTCGAAGCTCGTGAGGATACCGGAGGGAGGCAACTCACCTCAAAGAGGTAATTAGGGTTGGGTAACTCCAAAAAAATAATCTCAATTCCTGAATTTTGAATTTTTTAAGTTGTAACTTTAAGTATGGCCATCCATGGGACGCGAAACGAGGATATATAGTCAAAGAAAGAAATTCAATAATTATCTGATTCGTTGAAATGATTAAGATATATGGAATGAATATACCTTTCCCACATAATAAACATTCATAAGGTTCTGTATATGCCTCTGAATATATTAATTTCCCTCCCCTAGTGATCCATGCATATTGTAGCTTTCAGTAATAATAAATATTAATATAAGAATTGGTCAACATCTTTGAAAGGACTTGTTTACCCTTATGAAGTTTCACTTTAGCATGATGTCACACTCGTGTAGTATTTAGTAGATTTGTTAGAACGAAATGAAACATAGCATAACACATATATGGGTTCTATACTTCTATTCTATGTTTTAATGCATTTTAAGAATAGAACAAAATTGAATATAAAATTAAAAAAAAAAATTATTTCGATTCCACCCAGCAAAGAAATCATAACCATTTTAATTTTTTTTATATCATTTGTACACACCAAAAGTTACCAACCGTGATAGTGAGTCTATTATCTTCAGCAATGGAGCATTAAGCCGGCCGCTATCTTCTTTTCAAATTGGTTTTTTGTTTTTATTTGAAATTTTCTTCCTTGTTTTCTTTCGTTTGTTTCAACTTTTCTTTCTTCATTATTATTCGTTCATAACTTATAAAATTGTCCAAGTACTCTCCTTAATCCTGTTGCACAAGAATGACATGATTATTTGCAATACGACCATATTAAACTAGCTAGGGTCGTCAAATACACTCCCTAAGTAACTTCTTTTAACACACATTACTAAAATAATTAATAGTGCTTTTTCTTGCTTCAATCTTAATATTTGTCATCATTACCTCTTAAAAAAAGTATTATTGTAAGAGTTTGCTGCCATGGAAAGTTGAGACCTACCAAAAATGCAACAAGTGCTCCATGATATATAGTAGAGAATGTACTGTAGGACACAATTGGCATTTTACGAATAAAGGAATAGATACATAATTAAGTAGAGAAGGAATCTCATACAAAGTCCATAAAAGCCATTTCCTCAATCAACAAATTTCACTATCCAAGAGAGCTCTCCAAAGTCAATGCATGTTAATCAACTTGTTTGCCATGATCTTTCTTTCAAGCAAACCTTTGACATCAAAGATGGGTGACAAAGAATAAATTTTTTTATATCATATCTTAATAAATTTTTTTTAAGTATTTATCAATATATTAGAGGACGTTAAGGTTGCTCCTTGCGATAAAAAAAAGTCACATTGATTCAAATACGAAAAACAATCTCTTTACAAAAATTACAAAAAAGACTGCAACAATTGACCTTCATTCCTACCTTCACAAATTAGGGAGGTCTGTGCACGAAAATTTTGAACGGACAATAATTAAAATGGTTATTTTTATTTTATGAATTTTATAAAAAAATTTATAACAATTGAATCTATCAACAAATAAAATAATTGAGATTTCTCAAACGATTATATTAGAGAAATATTACTCTTATGTGACATGAGAGAATTTTTCTCTCATGCACTCACAAATCAAGAATGGGGCCTGTTCTTTATTTTTTTTCTCTCATTTGTGAGTGCATGATAGAAAAATTGTCTGAGGACACTTAAGAGTAATATTTCCCATTATATTAAAGAAAATACAAGAGCATCTATTCCCATTTCCATTAAAGTCAAAATTTGAACTTTTGCTTCATTCCAACGAGTCCCTTTCTTTTGTTTTTGATTTCCAACCTGTAGGTTCACTCTTCGCACGTCAAAAACAAAGTAAGAACAATGAGACTCGGCGATAGGAAGAGTGTTTAAGCACCCTACTGTGCCTCTCTTGCCCATGAAAAGTCATCAGTTAAAGCCACGATTTTCCAAGTCTCAGTTTTTGAGCTAATCTATTTCTGAAAGGTTCACAATTCTCCAAGTCTCAGTTTTTAGTGTTTTGCTTAGCTATGTGCACAGCTCTATTACTCTTCCTTATATGCCTTAAAAGAATATTTACAGGCCAGTTCAGAAGACTTAAGCAGTTCAACAGTTTGCACATTTTCGTTAATAAATATGAATAAAATCTCATTTGTTTTTCTGCCAAACGACACAAAAAGTGGTTGGCTTGGTTAGCTTGGTGCGCAGAACAGTAGTGAAAACTTGGTGTCATATTCACATTTTCACCCACTAAAGGGTTCTTCTTATTATTATCATCATATATACACCAAATCAATAGTTCAACTCTGTCCAATCTAAGGTGCAAGCATGGATGTGGAACTTCCAGCATCATCTGACAATGAATCACAACAACAAAAGTTCACTCTTCCTGTGGATTCTGAACACAAGGCCACTGAATTCAGATTATTTTCCTTAGCTAAACCCCACATGCGTGCTTTCCATCTATCATGGGTCTCTTTCTTTTCATGCTTTGTATCTAGTTTTGCAGCACCACCCCTCATTCCAATAATTCGTGACAACCTCAATCTCACAGCTACTGACATAGGAAATGCTGGGGTTGCATCAGTTTCAGGTGCTGTTTTTGCAAGAATTGCTATGGGAACTGCTTGTGACTTGGTTGGACCAAGACTTGCCTCTGCATCTCTCATATTACTCACAGCACCAGCAGTGTACTTCACTTCCATTATCTCTTCAGCTACCTCCTACCTCCTTGTTCGTTTCTTCACTGGCTTTTCCTTAGCCACCTTTGTCTCCACACAGTTTTGGATGAGTTCTATGTTTTCTGCTCCGGTGGTTGGTTCAGCCAATGGATTTTCAGGTGGATGGGGAAACCTTGGAGGAGGGGCCACACAACTCATCATGCCCCTTGTGTTTTCCCTCATCCGTGACATTGGTGCAGCACAATTCACAGCATGGAGAATAGCATTCTTTGTTCCTGCTTTGTTCCAAATGCTCACAGCTTTTTCCATATTGATGTTTGGTCAAGATATGCCAGATGGGAATTTCCATCGCCTGAAGAAGTCAGGGGAAAAACCAAAAGATGAATTTTCAAGAGTTTTGTATCATGGGATTACAAATTATAGAGGGTGGATTTTAGCATTAACTTATGGTTATTGCTTTGGGGTAGAGCTTACCATAGACAACATCATAGCTGAATATTTCTATGATAGATTTAATCTGAAACTTCACACAGCTGGAATCATTGCTGCATGCTTTGGTTTAGCTAATGTGTTTTCTAGACCTGGAGGGGGTTATATATCTGATGCAATGGCTAAGAGGTTTGGAATGAAAGGTAGGTTATGGGCCTTATGGGTGTGTCAAACCTTGGCTGGTGTGTTCTGCATAATCCTTGGCATGGTTGGATCTTTAAGTGTATCCATTGTTGTTATGATCATATTCTCTGTGTTTGTCCAAGCTGCATGTGGGATGACCTTTGGAATTGTTCCTTTTGTCTCAAGAAGGTAAGTTTTTCAAGTCATTATTTCAATCAAATTATTTAAAAAGCTATCTTTTAATCTTATAAATCTGCTTTCCCTTTCCTCCACTTGTATGTCTAGTTGTATAAACACTGGAGCATTCTCAAGAGTTGTAGCAAATTTTGCAAGTTATAACATTTCCATTATAGTTGTCAATAGTTAAGTGTAAGACTCAGATTAAACCAAAGAGAAAAAAAATCTAAGAATAAAAGAACTGTTAATTTAGTTGTTTAATTTGTTAGAAGCCATCAGATAAGACATATTAGGCAAAGTCACGCGTATGTAATAGGTTGAGACAAGGAATATCATTCTCTTTTTTTATTAGAAGAAAAGAATATCATTCTCTGACATATAATACATGTTTCATGCATCATGTTTAGGCTATTTACCATAAAGATAACTCTTTAACAACTCTGATTTGACCAACGAATGATTCCAAAGCTGATGATAAATTTCAATACAATCTTTAAGTGTAGATGCTCAACACAAGCTTAAAAGCTGGTTAGGTTTATTCAAAAAGGCAGGAGTTATATCAACAAAGTGCAAAGCACTATGTCAGTATTTCTTTATGATGAATTCTAATTGTTTGCAATAAAATATGCATCTTCAGGTCATTAGGGGTCATATCTGGAATGACAGGTGGAGGAGGCAATGTGGGTGCAGTGGTGACACAACTAATTTTCTTCAAAGGATCCAAGTTTTCAAAAGAAAGGGGAATAACTCTAATGGGTGTGATGATCATAATATGCACCCTGCCAATGTGCTTAATATACTTTCCACAATGGGGTGGGATGTTTTTTGGTCCATCATCTGAAAGGGTCACAGAAGAAGACTACTACTTGGCTGAGTGGAACTCAAAGGAGCAGGAGAAAGGTTCCCATCATGCAAGCTTGAAATTTGCTGATAACAGCAGAAGTGAAAGAGGCCAAAAACTCAATACTTCAACCAGGCCCTCTGAGGAAATCACACCACCACATGTTTGAGGAAATCCACTCCTCTTGAACGCATTAACCCTTGTAATTCCTTTGAAGCAGGACACATAGTCTTTTGATTTCAATGTCTGATCTTAAGTTTGGTGTACAATAAAGTTAAGTTTTCCTTGTAAGAAATGTCTAGTGTGTGTGACAAATGTCTATGATTAATAATTAAATGAAGCATTAAATGATTATTGACAACATAATTTTTAAAGAGGTTTCTTAACTATTTGACTGGAGTGATCATCTGTCTCAATATGGCAGGTTAGTCTTATGTTTCCCTTTATAAGTGCATCGCATGTCTTGTGACAAGACATCCTGCAATTCATTTTTTATTATGTACTCCTTTAGGTACATAAGTGTAATATTAAAGTTATTTTTTTTAACTATGTTCTTCTGGGAGTACATAGTTAAAAAATGGTTGCATAAATGAACAGTATCATTCCTGCATGATTCTTGTATTTCACTTTTTGCCTATAAAAGTTACATTTCGTATTTTTATTTTTATTTTTATTTTTTTATCAAGAATAGAACGTGAGAAAGGATTAGACTCGAAGATCATTAGTTGAAGGGAATAAAAGGCCACGACCAGGAGCAACCTTCAAGTAACGCAAGACTCATTTGGCAGTACTGCAATGAACATCAATAGTTTGGGCTACATATTGGCTTAGATGTGGACTACATAACATATATCTGGTCGGGTGGTAGTCAAATAAAGTAACCTACCAATTAGACGTCGATAGATAGAAGGATCAAGGAGAGATGTTCCTTGTGAAGAGCTAATCTTGGCAGCAGAATCCATTGGAGCACTAACTGGTTTTCTTCCAATTAATCATGCATTTGAAATGATTTCTAATGCATATTTGCGTTGGTTGAGTATAATGCCCTTGGAAGAACGAGACACTTTCAACCCAAGAAAGTAACGAAGCTCCCCAAGATCTTTGATACGAATTTTTTCATTTAAAAGACGTCTGACACGACTTATTTCTGATAAATCATCTCCACAAAGCAGTGTTTTAAAACTCCGCCTTGCCCCGGGGTTGACCCTGTCGGGTGACTAACCCCCTCTCTCTAAAGGTTAGGGTTAGCAGTTAGACTCTGCATGCACGTTGACCCCTCTGACCCCCAAAATCCCCTTATTAAACCTGTGACTCCCGGGTCAAAGAGGTCAGAAAGGGTCACTGCATTTAAAAAAAAAAAAAATTACACACCAAAATACGTCGTTGGGTGGGTAAAAACAACAAAAACTCACTGTTGCCGAGATCTAAAACTAGATCTGAAATCTCAATCGTTTTTCTTCTTCTCTTTTGATCTTCTCTCCCAGATCCAGATACAGTCTCTCGAATTTGGTGATCTCCTCCGTCGCAGTGGTGGTTCCTCCTATCCTCTTCGATCTTCTCTCTCCCTCTCCTCTGTCATGCTGATTTGTCTCTCTCCCACCATTCTTTCTTGGGTAAGGGATCTCCTTTCACATGCTGTTGTAGGTGTGTGAGAAGTAAGGATGGGCTGAGTTTAATGATATAACTTTTCATTAACTCCATTGAAATATGTGTTTTATACTTTGATACTTTGATTAGCTTGTGTAATGTTGACTTGTGGATTTAATTGGTTGAATTATGTTAAGTATATTTTGAATCTTTGATGATTGGTGGTTTGAATTTTTTTAATTTTTCGTATAGTATATATACTTATATATTTTTAATATATAAATCTAGGTCAGCGAAGTGACCACGTGACCCCTCGGTTAAACCCATGACGCCGCGACCCCTGGCCTCGGCCGGGTAGATAGCGCGACCAAGTTTTTAAACATTGCCACAAAGCACAACATCATGAACATATACAAGTAGAATAGTGAACGAAGAATGCTTTCGAAGTGTAAACATTAAGTGGTCAGCATGAATTTGCTGGTAACCAATGGAGATAAAAAACGAAAAGAGTTTTGTGTGCCATTGTGTAACATCCCGAGCGCTGACGAGGGCGGGGAGTGATCGCCGGTGCAAAGAGGCACGAACAAGGAGCGGCTCCTGACAAGCTTCCAGCGTGGGGTTACATGCATGAATGAATCAGATCGACACCCGAAAGAGAGGGATTCCAAAGGCTATGCAGGTATGAGACTGCACAGTTTGAGATAGCTTATAAGAATTAATTGGTACTACCTATGCTAACAAGATGCATTTGCTTTTCGGTAGCCCGGATCGGAAGAACTCCACAGTTAATCGTGGGAAGTTTTCGGTAACACGAGACTTTTTAGTGTGCTTTTTCCTCACTCGCACACTTCCCGGGAAAACTTCCCAGGAGGTCATCCATCCCAGAATTGCTCCAAGTCAAGCACGCTTAACTGTGGAGTTCTTCCGATCCGGGCTACCGAAAAGCAGATGCATCTTGTTAGCATAGGTAGTACCAATTAATTCTTATAAGTTATCCCAAACTGTGCAGTCTCATACCTGCACAACCTTTGGAATCGCTCTCTTTCGGGTGTCGATCCGATTCATTCATGCATGTAACCCCACGCTGGAAGCCTGTCATGAGCCGCTCCTTGTCTGTGCCTCTTTGCACCGGCGATCACTCCCCGCCCTCGTCAGCGCTCGGGATGTTACATGCCCACCAGCTTTCGCCTGGTTCGTCCTCGAACCACACCGTACTGGAAGAGAGGCCTGCTCTGATACCACTTGGAATATATCAGGATATCATCAATAAACACGATCACGAATTGATCCAGAAACGGCTTAAAAATGCGATTCATATAATTCATAAACACCGCCGGAGCATTAGTGAGTCCAAATGGAATTACTTGATACTCATAATGTCCATATCTAGATTGGAAGGCAGTCTTCAGAATATCTTCCTGCCTAATTCGGATTTGATGATAACCCGACCTCAAATCAATCTTTGAGAAAACATAAGCACCCCTCAGCTGATCAAGCAAATCATCTATGCGAGGGAGAGGATACTTGTTCTTAATGGTAACCTTATTCAACTGACGGTAATCAGTGCACAATCTCATGCTACCGTCCTTCTTCTTAACAAATATAACTGGTGCTCCCCACGGGGACACACTTGGCCTGATAAACTGCTTAGCCGAAAGCTCCTCAATATGCTTCTTTAACTCGGCTAATTCCGGTGGTGACATCCGATACGGAGCCAGAGAGATAGGCCCCACACCAGGCAATAGATCAATCGTGAACTCAATCTCTCTATGAGGCGGAAGTTGCGGAATTTCATCTGGAAACACATCCACAAACTCCTTCACCACGGAAATAGTGCCAATCTCCTCAAGACTTCTGCCTACTAAACCTCCCACAAAGACATATCCCAATGCCCCGGCCCTCAAAGCCTTTCTTACCTGCAACACAGATAGATATGGGGAAGAACTAGTAGCAGAATCATCAGCAGCCAGCACAATCCTTTTTCCACAGCAGTCTATCATAGCACAGTTCTTTGACAACCAGTCCATTCCCAAGATAACTTGAAGGCTGATCATCGGTAAAAAAATAAAATCCAGCACGCAATCTCGGCCTTCATACTTGAACTCCACATCTTTACATAACACGGATGTATAACACTCCTCTCCAGTAGCAGTAACCACTTTCATTGGAGGACAAATGTCGTACATTTGCAAATTTAGCCAAACGGCCACAAAATCAGACATACAGGAGTGTGTAGCTCCTGAGTCAAACAACACTTCAACATCCATATTATCAATATAAATTGTACCTTTCACTAGATTCGGAGCTTTCTCCGATTGTTGACGGTCCATGGTATACACTCTACCAACCATCTGGGACTCTAGCATAGGTGGAACAACAGAGACAGGAACAGCAGTAGCTTGAACTGCCATAGTCCTCACTTCATTCTGAGGACACTGCCTGGAGTAGTGGCCAGACCTTCCACATTTATAGCAAATGACTTCACCTGTAGCACACGAACCTCTATGCTCCTTTCCACATCCTCTACATTTGGGAGGAGGTCCTCTATCAACAAAATTCTTTTGAGTTCCGGGCTTTTTGAACAAGTCGAGTGGACTATTCACATTCAGCTTCTTGCCTTTCATCTTCTTGTTCTTCCAATAACCTGAGCCCGTTGCTTTATTGGCATTAGGTGCCTGGGCCTCAGAAGGCTTCTTGATCTGTGACCCCTTGTATACTTCTTATACCTTTCTGCACTGATTCACAAATCTGCTAAATTCTCGGATGTCACAGTTTGACATCTTCCAAGACATCTTTTCGTTCAGACCCCATTAGAACTTGGAGGTCATTTCAGCTGGAGTGGGCAAGGCTCTCCCATAATTGGCGTATTTCACCAACTCGTTGAATTTTGCAAAGTATTGATCAATCGACATCGACCCTTGCTTTAGGTCATTGTACTCATTCTGCTTCTGTTCCCTAGCCTCCCTAGGGAAATAGTTATCCAAGAACAATGTCTCGAACAACCGCCTGGTGATTTCCCTGCCTTCAGTTTCTAGGGGCTGTACTGTATTGGTCCACCAATCCTCTGCTTCTTCTTCCAGCATGTACACGGAGTATATCAGCTTCATTGCATCCGAGCACCTCATCACCCTGAAGATTTTCTCCATCGCCTGGAGCCATTTTGCTGCAGCCATTGGATCATAACCCCCTTCACAAGAAGAGGGTGTAGCGGGTAACAATGAAGGTGAGGCTAGTCATCCTTCTGGAAGTCACAGTCATCATACAGAAGTTCGTCAACCACGTGTAGAGCACGTTGATGAACATGAAGCGGAAGAGAGGAGATTGACGACTTTTCGGAAACATTAGTCATTGATTCTTGAAGCGGCCGGACGTTACACATTGTCTGCTGGCCTGACAAAGGCCATATAGAGACTTTTATTAGCGACAAACCTGACCTGGTTTCAAGTTTTGTAGCCCCGGTAGAGGTTGCATATAAAATTCCTCATGGAGATCTCTGTGGAGGAAGGAATTGTTGAAGTCAAGTTAATAAAGGAACCATCATTTTGCTGCTGCAAGAGCTAGACGGATTCTGATGGAGTTGATTTTTGCTACTAGAAGGATTCCATTTGG